TAAATATATTATTGTAATCACCGATGTCTTATCAAAATTCGTTGTAGCAAAAGCAGTTCGGGATTGTTCAGCTCAAACCACCGTCCGCTTCTTAAAAGAAGAAGTCATTACCAAATATGGCAGTCCTAAGTGCATTTTAACGGACAATGGCTCTCATTTTACCGCCTCCTTAACCAATGAATTGTTCAAACAGTTTGGAGTCACACACATGTATTGCACACCTTATCATCCGCAGTGCAACGGCCAGATCGAGCGTTTTAATAGTACGATGGACCCAAAGATCGCCGCATTATCAAACTTCAATAAAACGGATTGGGATGATCAACTACCCTTTGTGATCTTCAACTACAACACAACCATTCATTCAACAACAAATCAAGTACCGTTTAAAATGATTTTTGGTCGTAATCCAATGCTACCGTTCGATTGCCAAGATCAGATCGTTAGTCTTCATCAAGATCCAGATTATATACAAAAGCTGAATGATTATTTATCATCATTAACTCGAGAAGTAAGAGATAACATCATTAATAATCAAGCGAAATATAAAACAAGATATGATTCCAATCGTCGAAATCCATCCTATGAAATTGGTGATCTAGTATTGGTGAAAAACATTGGATCAAGATATAAATTTGACATTAGATTCGAAGGACCATTTCGCATCATCCACCAACAAGGTCCAAAGACTTTCGTCGTTGAGCACGTTAAGAAATTAACATTACGTCGACAAGTAACAACGGACGTAATTATTCCATTATATCAAAGACAGCCCTCCCGTGGACTCGGCAGTTAATTCAGCCGATTCACTCACTAATGATCAAATCTGTCAAAAAACGGGATTAACACACCATTGATAGTCTATTGATGAGAAGACATGATTTAGCAATACTTAACGGGGAGTTTAGTTTCCCTTGCTCACTGTTCTGATGGGCTATCATACTCAAGTTTATTAATATTTAATCAATGTGCCGTTCATTCTGCTTGATGCAACATTAGTTATTTGAAACATGATTTCAAAGGATTTTTCTCTGTATCGTCTGAACGTCCGCGCAATCGAACATTATCATTAGACTATAATTCGAATGATACAATAGAAGATATTATCGACATTTTTCAATACAATTTCTGAATTGGCCGTTTCTGATAGACATAAAGTTTTGTCCCGAAAAAACGAAGAATTTATTTTGGTTAAATAGTGGATCTATTCGATAGAAAATAAGTTTCAACAATCAACTAACAACGAAATCTAGTGCACGAAATCCAGTAAAGGAACAAGGACGAAAATGTATAAAGCAGAACCAAAATAAGTTTACTTCAAGATAATATCATCAAACTAATTGGAAAGAAAGAGAAAAAAGAATAGAATGTGTCTGTAAGAGCAGTCTCATCAATCTAGACCACATTCATTTTTCAATCTCATCTCACTTATCTATTTGCTGTTACATATTCATATTTTGCATTTTATGCACGGGGGGAAAAGCAGTATTAATATATATTAAAAAAAAATACAGTACACATACTACTCACATACCCGAATACCAATTGAATTTAAATAACTTGAGGAAGTACGCAACTGCTGTAAAAATCATGATTTAACTAAATCACATTCTTTATTCTACACAATATTTCGACAGTGTTCTCCTGTCATTTTCAAGTGAAGAAAATAGTGACAAAACGTACAGACTATTAGATACTACACTCTTTTTATACAGAAATGTAAAAAACAAAGAGAACAAACCACGTTTTATCTAGAAGAAGTAAAATATATTTTGTTTTTCTTCTACTGTTCGAAGAATAAAATGCACTCTATGACTGCCAATGTCATACAAACACTTTTAGTTTATATTTAACTCGTTGATAGCTGTTCCTCGAGATTCACTAGTTAACAAACTTTCCTTTATCACTCTTCTTTTCCAAACTGATTCTAGGGCTAGTGTCTCCACGTTATCGAAATTCATTTTGTGCTTCAACTGATTAGTGTGCTGAGCAATGAGTGAAGTTGTTTTATCTTTCTTAATATCCTTCTTATGTTCTGTCATTCTCGTATCCTTCTTTCGATCTGTTTCACCGAGGTATTTACGATCACAGTCGGTGCAGTTTACACAATAAACTAATTTCTTTTCCTTACGAGTCTCATCTAGTCCTTTTTAAATTGGCTAAAAAGATATTCTTTAGAGTGAACGTTTTTCGATAGGCTAAGTTGATAGTCAAATTTGGAAGAAGTTTCTTGCTCATTTTTTTAATTCTTGCTCCGAGTTCACTTGTTTCAACTCCATAATAAGAGAAAACGAAAAACATTTCTTTCTTTTTGGATTGAGACTGAGGAGCAGGTGAGTTGTTATTCAATCTCTTGTAAATAACGGTTGCTTCTCTCATTCCTCGTTTTATTATATGTGGTGGATAACCATTTTGTTTTAACACCGAGAATAGATGCTCACGTTGGTTTTTTAGATGAGTGTTATTCGAACATAGACGAAGAGAGCGAATGTAAAGTGATTTTATAAGTCCCAATTTGTATTTACGAGCCTGATTACTGTCATAGAGAAGATAAAGATTCGTTGTAGTTGGCTTTCTATAAACTGTAGTAGAATAAACGTTATTTTCGCGTATAATTAAGAGATCTAGAAATGGCAGACGATTATTACTTTCGTATTCAATAGTAAACTTGATGTTTGAATGCCAGTTGTTAATACGAGAGAGAAAGTCCGTTACATTTTGTTTTTCGTTGAAGATGCAGAAGACGTCGTCGACATAACGAAGCCAGATCTTAGGTTCACAGAAGGTATGTATGTATGATGTCAACTCTTAATTTTTATTTCAAATAAATACGAACAATTGGGAAATTATACTCGTGGAGCAATAAAGCAACAAGTGTTCGAAGCCCAAATTGGTTGATGATTGTTGTCGTAGAAAACTAGATTGCCATCATCTTGCAGAGCCAAATGGCCATGATTGGCGCTCTGGAAAAAGAAAAGAATCAGGATAATAGCCAGGAGACTTTTTAAATATTTGTACCTGTCCATGTGTATTTGACGCCCAGCTAGGTTGATTGTTACCGTCGTAGATCACCAAGTTGCCATCACGCTGTACTTCAAAGCGATGAGGACCTCTTCTGAATGAACCTGTCGTCCAGAGTGCATTGGCCGGTAATGTATTCTCAGAAACGTACAACACGAGGTTTCCATCAACTTGTAGTACCAAACGGTAGGCACCGTTCGGAGATGTTAATGCTTCATCCTGCTCAAGTTGTTGACCTGCTTGAAGTGTATTGCGTGGCGCTGTGAACAAAATCAAACTTTAATCTTCCAACTACAGTTCTTCTATACTACGGATCATTTGCAGTCTAAAGAAAAGATCTACGAACATACCTTGTATACGCCAGGCATCTAACACTCTGCTTATCTGTTGTAATTGGTTTTTCATACAGACGAACTGATCTCCTCCCAAGTTATTGTGTTGTCTTTCTCCGACTAAGTGGGTCCAAAGAACAGCCACTTGAGCAAAATTATCGGCGTAATTGGAATTACCATAGGGATCAGGTACACATGAATCCTGCTGAACAGCAGAGTGCCAATCAGATGTTCCCGACGTGCCACGATCTGCAGAGTGCGCTGATTCATGGATGAATACGGAAATATGCATATCCGGGTGACAATAGAGAGAAACATCTCCGCTGGATCCAGCTCCACCACAAGTTCCTGCTGTGGCTGAAATCATAGCTCTATTGTGTCGTCGAATGGGGTAAGGAACTCGTCCCATCATTTCGATCATATATTGAGCGCTCATGACTGCGTTAGGACACATACATAAAACGAGTCGTTGATTACCGATGCCATGATAAGTAATAGTGTGAACAGTTTCGGCAGCAGCACCATTGCAATGGCAGAGTGATGCGTCACCGCCAGGAGTGGATGAATGCGGTGGAGTTTTAAGATAACCAAAATTGAGTTCATCACCGAGACCCGGGAGTAGTGGGTGTTTGTTCAGATTTTGTTTGCTAAGACGCACCAATAACGACAAGATGATAAAAAAGACAAAGAATCGACTGTTCCTTGCCAGCATATTTGTTTTATTTTGAATATAAGACTTGCTTGTATTAACAGTGAGTCGAGGACTATTCTTCTTGATATTTATATCGAAAGTTACTTGTTACTCTGAAAGACAATACGTCTGGTTATTCAGCTGGCAATTTACTCATAAAACCACTAGATAGCTATTTGATAAATGATATTTGATACCAATCTGCATTGCCCACGCTCGACGATGCCAAAAGCGATACCCTTCTCATTTCATCCTTTCACTTTAATCTTTTCTCAATTTCTGAATAATGCACTCAATCGCTTCTAACGAAAGAATAAGTCTCGGTGCACTGATGAGTACTATCAGTAGAGTAAGAAGGGGCACAGTGGGCAATCACGTGGACATTAGGTGGAAAGATGAAAGTGAGATTTTTTGAGATATGAATAATGCCCAATATACTTTAGCTAATGACGAATTTTTTGATCCAAAAATGTTTTCTAACTCTCTAACTTACTTGAAAAACCTAGGACCTGAAAAAGGTCGGAGTTTAGCTATCTTTTAAAAAAATGCATTTTTTCATAGAAGGTAGAAAGAGTGAAGGAATAAATCATACATATTCTGAAAGTAGAGCTCGTAGTCTACCTGTTTATAAAAAGATTTGTCTTCTAACTCCTTTCCTACGAAAAAAATAATCTTTCTTTCTACGCTCAGAGTTTTTTCTTAAACACCTGTTTAGTAAAGTGAGTTTCCTAATTTTTCCTAAACTTCAAATAAAATGAAACTTTCAGAGAACACTCTTCTCTATATGATACGTGTACTATATTAGCCCAAAATAGCCCAAATGCTTCTGGACCGAGATATAGGTTTTCCAAAAAACCTTCGGGTTTTCAGATAATTTAGATTTTTCTCAGTTTGGTAGCACTTAAATTTAAAAATAAGGTGATATTCGGAATCAGCGTGAAAAACTGCGTCGAATGGTGTGTAATTCAGCCACGTGTGTACTGAAAATTTTGAATTTAGTTGATTCCTTTGTTTCTTGCATGTGCGTATAGGGATTTTTGACTGAAATTTTAAAATTTGAAATTATCAACATATGATATCGTCTGAACACTATTGCAATAGGTTATCGATGATTCTCTATCCAATACAATTGTTTTCGAGTTTTTTAAAGGTTTTCTGAGTGGTTTGCTAGAGACCGGATCTCTGGAAAACCACTTATAAAACCTTTTTAGAATTCGAAAAGCACTCGACTAGATAGAGCACACAAGATAACCTATAGAAAACGCGCTTTTAAATTTTCCTCCAGCTTGCAGGCCAAAAGTCCACGTGCCTAGTGAAAATTGCCCACTGTGCTATGGTAAATAAAAAATCAAGTTTTTTATATTTCCCTTTCTGAACTATATGTAAAAAAGACAAGTTTTTCTTTTCTTTTGCTATACAGTATCGTCGTACAGTATCATTTCAATTTCCTAAACGCGTGTGAGTCATAGCCGACGATTTAACAAAAATACATTGCGTGACGGCTATTCTACAGTCAGTCAAACAATAACTCACATTGCTCAGCATTGCTTTTTCATTTATCATTTTTTCTTAGCTAAGTTTTCCGCTCACAGCATGTAAGCCTTCTCTTTCCTGCAAAGTCATCTCAAAACAAATTTGTAAAATTTGTTGCAAACAGGAAAATTTGAAGGTTGCAGAATAGAAATATGAAGTGGACAAGTTTTGGCAGAAGAAACGAGGGGAAGAAGCAGGAATGGGGGTGAATGAGCTTTAGAGAAAAAGGTACGAGTTTAACCCAAAGACGGTTGAATCTCTGATAATAATTCTAAACATTGAGAAGACATAAATATCTAGCATCTGAACTTCCTTTCCGCAAGCCGGTTGACCCTGCTGCGTTGCTAAATGAAAATCTATTTCCTAATGTGTTCAGTTACGGCATCATATTACAGGAGCTTCACCCCTCCAAAGCAGAAAAAAAATCGTGAAGCTGGCGCTTGTAGCTACCTGACCCAATTTTTAACCCATCAAAGCTAGCTTAAGTGAGTTGAAGCTAGCTGATGTGTTTGAATTCGATGCTAATCGCCCATTGGATCGGCCTCTTGGAGCTAGC